TATGTATAGTGATAATATCAAAATCTAATTGCATATTTTATTTAAAAATGGAATAATTTTTAATTGAATTACGTGTACTTTTTAAATTATCAATTTCCTTTACCATTTCCTTTGCTTTTTATTTTTAAACAAAGTAGAGGTAATTTTAAAAAATTTAAGCTCCCCGAAGAATTTAACAAACTTCGTGGCTTTCATTCACAAAAAATAAAATTAAGTGATTTCGAAAATGTTGCTTACATGAAAATTGACGAACCTTTACCAGAAAATGTCGATTGGCGTGAAAAAGGTGCTGTAAGTGAAGTAAAAGAACAGGTTTGTCAAATTTTCCTTTTCAAAAAAAAAAAGAAAAAGAAAAAATGGAAAAAATAATTAAATTTGTATTTTATGAAAGAAGTGATTTGTGGAAAATCTTTTTTTTTGGGTTTTCAAAGATTAAAAAAAAAAGAAAGATTTAGGAAAAAATGGCGCATCTTTTTTGCTTTTTTTAAAGGGATTATGTGGAAGTTGCTGGACATTCAGTGCAGCAGGTGCATTAGAAGGACAAAATTTTTTAAAAACTGGTAAACTGGTTAATCTTTCGGAGCAGAATATTCTCGATTGCAGTGATGATAGCTACGGTAATTATGGATGCGACGGTGGTTTGATGATGAATGTTTGTTGTCCATTTCATTGCATTAATTATTTTTCATATTCTAATTGAACCTTTTTCTGTTCACTAGGCTTTGGGCTTTTTGTTTTTTTTCTTACTCCTGAAACTTGTTATGAAAGCAACAATCGAATAACACTATTTATAAAAATGATAGCAAACGAAAAAATGAATGTAATTTGATTGCCAATGAAAATTTTATTTTAGGCTTTTAAATATGTAAGAGAAAATGATGGAATTGATACGGAAGAATCATATCCATATGAAGGTTATCAAGCTCAATGTCGATATTCAAATGAATCTCGCGGTGCAACAGCTTATGATGCCAAATTATTACCTTGGGGTGATGAATTGCAATTACAAGCAGCGGTTGCATCTATTGGGCCAATATCTGCTGCTATTAATTCAGGATTGATACGGTTTTACAAAAAAGGTGTGAAATATACGATGTCTTAAAATTATTTTCACTTTTATTTTCAAATATTCAATTACCTCTTCATTTAGAACTGTTATTTCATTTAGAACTGTTATTTCAAATTCATTTAGAACTGTTATTTGAAAAAAAATTGAAAACTTTTAGTTAAACTATATATTATTTAAGCCATTAAACACTGATAAGTTTAACATTTTTGATTAAATTATTTTGAGATACAATAAACACATATCAAATTTTAATTCATTTTCAACGAAGGCATTTATTATGGTTTCAATAATTTAGGTATTTTCTCAAGCTTGAAAATGCCAAAAAACTGTTGATCATGCTGTACTTGTTGTTGGTTATGGAACGGAAAAAGTGACACTTCGAAAATGGTACCGAAAAGATTGTCGGATTATTGGCTTATTAAGAATAAGGTTCGCTATTTTTAGGGAGTTATGAATATTCATATTTT